GGGGAGCATCTTCCAAGTTTGATTTTTTTAGAGACAACATAGAAAAAAAGTAAAAAAGTAGATCTGGTGTTTTGATTGGTTGCTTCCACAGCGTTCCTACCTTTCATTTCTAACACAGCATGATCGGGCACATCCTTCCCCTGCTCATTGGTTTGCTTTAATGTTCGTTCTTTAAAATCCTCGTCCGTGGGACAAATTACAATAGCCTTGCGTTGAAAACCTTCAAAAGGACGCATTTTTCGTCTCCTTGCTGATCCATATACATTTGTCTAGCAATGGTGACAAGAAAGAAGTAGAAGCTTGTTTGTTATTGTTTACTTGTAATGGCTTTCCACTGGGAGGAAGCTGGAACCCTGCAATAATCAAGTGAGAGAGGTTTGGCTTGGATGTCAGACTAGGGTTTTTTCAGGTGCTAGTGGCCTCTCGTCACCCCACAGACGTACCTGAGGGCCGGAGCGTCCAGTCCGGGGGCAGCTGACCGGCTTTAGGCAAACAGAGGAGGACCCCAGCACTCCTAAACCCGTCTAAACTCACCACGCCCGAGCGGCCGCTAGCAGGTTTTCACCTGGGAATCCTATTTTTTAAGCTTCGAACTGGATTTAAAGATCGTTTTTCATAAGTTAGGTCTGCAATTGGACCCCAAACGCAGCAGAAATCCGCTTTAAAGAGGAAAAAACGCAGATACGACTCGGCTGAAACCGTCAAATCAACAGGCTAAATCCTAAATAATCGGGATTAAATCGATTTTTACTCCATTCTATAAACAAACGCCAAACACGAGCCCAAACCTGAACAAAAAGCACAATTCAAGCCATTTAAAAACGGTCCTAAAAACACAAAGCACCGGATAAAAGCTCTCCCGATCAGAGAGATAACCCTGAAAGTCTCCCCGTGTTACAGCAGGACTCAGATCCTGTGAAAATGTTACTATAAATAAAGCGAGGCTTCGGATTCTGCGTGAACGGTCGGTCAGATCCAGGTTCTGAGAGCAGGGATGGCTACATCCCACGCCCCTTTTCCTGGTTCTGGTTCTCTGGAGCCCAGCAAACAGCCCGGCTTGTTTCCCACCCAGACGAAAGCAGATGTTTTGGGAGCATCTGGAACTGCCTCCTCCTCATTCTGCCGCGTACAAACAGACTGAGAATCAACTGCCTGAGGATTTAAACTTTTGCCTCCATAAATAAGCCTCCTCTTAATGTTTCCCTCAAACCAAAGCCAACTAAAGTGTTTAAAATCGTGTTTTTGGGACAACATTTCCAGGGAATACTCCACAAACGACTTCGTTTCCATTTCCGGGCGGGCAGAGTCAGAGAAGATCCCAGTCTGAGTGGTAAAAAACCTCACGTCCTTTTTCCGATTTGTCGGCTTTTTTGGCGACACATCCATGTTCTTTTTTTTTTAGCGGGAAACCTGTTAAACAACGTCTCCTGAGTACTGCCGCGCGTCGGACCTCCAAAACTAAAAAAACGCCACCTTACAGCCACTTATAAAACAAAGATAACGGCTCATTTAATTCAATTTCTTTTTCAAAACGGTCAGACGAGAGATAAAACGAGGGCTGTTTTGGGCTCAACCGTCTATGAATACAAACGTCGTCCAGCTGAAAACCGGCTTTTAGCTTAAGATCGGGACGCGAGACGTCCTAAACGATGAACTTAAACTCCTAAAACTCCTCCGGAAACCTCTGTGCTGCAACGGGTCCCCCCCCACCTCCACTTACCTCCTCCTCAAAGGGCTCCGGGTCCCATTCCAGACAACAACACACAGATATAACCCACCTGCTGGTACTTACAGAGTCCTGGGGGGGGAGAGGGGGCCTCCAACTGACCCACCTACCTTTAGGTTCAGACCCGCTGAACAGGAAGGAACCTGGAAAGCTCAAAGCCGTTAGCCACTACTTACCTTCAGGGTCATTTTATTAACAAACACACTCAAAAGCTCCATGTATCTCACTTTGTTTTTTCTTTCTTTTTTAAAAAAAAAAGCTTTCCAAAAGCCATCAACTCTGTCTTATCACATTAGCAACGGAAGGGGTTTTGCTTACTCACCAGTCAGAGATTACTTGTTTCTCAACATCTTACAAAGTCATGGTTTACTTGTACATTGTTGAAATTCACAGGACAAACAATACTGTATTATGACAAGAGATAGCAAGTGCAAAAATATACTGAGGGATGAAAACATAACATGTTCTGTCACTTCTGTAATCATTTGCTTTTACAATGCATCACGAGCAAGAGGGTGATCAAAGCTTCTTCTACTCTATAATACACAGAGACCCCCTGAAAGATAAATAAATAATCCATTAGAGAAAAGGTGAGCATCAGGGCACATTGACTAGCTGGTGAGAGTGGTGTGGGGGGGGGGGGGGGGGGGGGGGGGCCGTACCTGGTCCAGGATGTAGTTGCGTCTCTTGCGGGCGGCGATCTCGATGAGCCGGTTCAGGCACTGCGTGGCCTGCTGGATCAGGAGGTCCCAGCGGCCCGCGTAGTTCCTCTGGCGCCGCAGACCCATCACCTGCAGGCAGGGGGCGGAGTCACGGGCCAAAGGGGCGGAGTCAGGGGCCCAGGAGGGGAGGGGGTAAAAGACTAGGGTTGTCAAAAGTGTTGATACTCAAAAAAGCGTTGATACTAAAACGTTGCATCTGTTTTAGTAAGGTGACGTTAGCCTTGAATTGCTAGCTGCGGCTAATGGCTAATAATAACACGCCAACATTAATCACGTCCATCTGAGTTCAGACTGCAGGAAGCCAAGGATGGATATCCAACTCCACCCGCATCCAAGACTGACATTTTGATTAGGTCACCAATAGGAAGATCCCAGGCAAGAAAATCCCAATTGCTTCATGGCAATATAGACATTAATTTAAAAATAGTGAAATGAATCTTGCAAACAGTGAATTAAACTCTATCCATAATATTATGTTAAAATAGTGGATGTTAATTAGGTTTGTACAATAAGTCCAAACAAGTTTAACCAAAACATATTTATTTCTAACAATTATGAAGGGTTAGGGTCAGGGTCATTAATGTGGGCCACTGGCCACCATAACATTAGTAACTGTAAAATTTAAAACCAAAGACACTAACCTGTCCAAATTCAGTTTAATTTTGGCGTCTTTGTTTTTATTCTTGTGGTATCGAAAACGGTATAGAGTATTTTCCTGAGTATTGGTATCGAGCTGAAAATTTTTGTATCGTGACAACCCTATAAGAGACGGGAGAGGGTCTGGGGGGTGTGGGGACCCACCTTCATCTTGTCCATGATGGCGTTGGTGCCCAGGATGTTGTACTTCTTGTCGGGGTTGGACTCGGCGTGCTTGATGGCCCACGTGGTTTTCCCACAGGCCGGCAGACCCACCATCATCAGAATCTGAAACGGGGGGGCACAATCAGATCAAACCCCAAAAACAGTTTTTTCCCTCCAAGTAAACAACAAGGGGAACATCTAACTGATCAAATAAACATAAAAAAATGGAGCCAGATACTCTTAGCCAGTAAGGTTTTTTCTAAAATTTTTTTTAGATTGGACACTCCAAATTCCCCCCACAAATATATTTTACTGAAAAGCAGACATAATATAACAGATACTTCCACCTTTGATCTGTACAATGCTTTTTTTTATATGAAGTGTATAAAGATTAAAAAAATAAATAAAAAACAATAAATGGGAGAAAGCTAAAAAAAATATATACATAAGTAAATTATGCCTTTATTAAACAAAAAAATAATAATAATAATAAATCTAATAACAATAATAACTATAATACCATCCCTGACCCATCCAGTCCCGCCTGTATGTATGTACTATACATACATACATTTATATATATATATATATATATATAAAATGCGAAACATAACATGTTTAGTTGTTTTTTTTTGCATGTTCCATTAAAAAAAAAAGGAGAAAAAAACGTGTGATCACTGTATAGCTTTTAAGCAATGAAAGATGTAAATAAAACCTAAATAAAAACAGAAAAAACCTGGAATCCCCCCCCTTTCCTACCTCGCATTCGGACTTGCTGGCGGGTCCTTTGGTGCCTCTGATCTTGTCCTCCATGCCCAGGTTGTGGATGTAGGAGTAGCCCTCCAGGGGGGGGAAGTAGGGCTCCCGCCGCTGCCCGAAGTTGAACTCCACGGCGCAGTTCTTCACCAGCACGTGGGGGAAGAGGGCGCGGCCCGCCAGCGCCTCCTTGGTGGTGCGGAAGGCCACGCCCAAGTTCACGCCGTTCTTGGAGAAGCCCATCTGCACCTCGTCCTCGCTCTCGAAATCCTGACGGGGAGGAGAGGGAGGAGGGAGGCCGGTTAAAGCCTGGAAACTAAACTTTAAACTTTACTGTCTATATGAAATCAGAAGACAGACGATGTCCTAAACCTAACCCTGACCCTAAATCTAACCGTGACCCTAAACCTAACTGTAAACCTAACCCTGACCTTAACCCTAACCCTGTTCCTAATCCTAACCGTGACCCTAACCGTAAACCTAACCCTGACCCTAACCCTGTTCCTAAACCTAACCCTAACCCTGAACCTAAACCTAACCCTGACCCTAACCCTCCACCCTTCATAATTGTGAGAAATAAATATTTTTTGGTTAAACTTGTTTGGACTTATTGTACGAACCTATTTCACTCTGATTTTTTATTTATTTACGTTGTTTATGATAATTAACGTGACGTTAGCCTTGAATTGCTAGCTGCAGCTAATGGCTAATAACGATAACATCAGTA